TCCGCAGCTCCTTCCCGGGTCTCGCCCCCTGCCGGAACTACGACAGCCCGGTCTGGAAACGTCTTTGCCAGATCCGCGATGAGGCACAGACGCAGATCACTTGGAACTTGGGGCGTGGGGACTGTTTCTTCTGGTATGATACTTGGTGCGGCGATCGCCCTCTCTGCACTGACCGCCGGGACCGCCCTCCGCCGATTCGGGTGAAAGAGATGTGGGTTAACGGGTCGTGGGATTTGACGCGCCTTCAGGCCTACCTTCCGGCATCCCTTGTTCAGCGGGTCTCTGCGATTCCTTTTGACCCCCTGATAGCGGATCAGCCGATATGGAAGGCTTCGGACACAGGTACTCTTACTACTACCTCAGCCTGGGAGATGAGCCGGACAGCCGGGGCTCGGAGTTGGCTTTCCTGCTGCCTCTGGTCGCCACTACTTACGCCTACGATGTCGGTATTCCTATGGCGTTTATTTCGCCGTCGGATACCTGTTGACGAGGCCCTTTGGAGGCTGGGTCTCCCTATTGTTTCTCGCTGCCAGTGCTGCAGTGAATCCGAGACTTTTGCACACTTATTCTTCTCGTCGGCGGTTGCCCAGCGCGTGTGGCGCCATCTTGCCGACCTATTCCGTATCCGAACCCCGCGGACACATGCGCCCCACCTGATGGTCTCTGCTTGGCGTCTGTCCTCCCCACATGCGCGGAGCATCCGTACCTATATCCCACTTCTGGCCTTCTGGTTTCTTTGGACGGCACGGAATGACGCCAAACACCGAGGTATCCAGATTTCCTCTGACAGGATTATTTGGCGTATTCACTCTCATTTGCAGGTGTTGGGCCGTGCTGGCCTCCTTCAGCGACAGCACTGGCCTGGGGAGGTGCACTTAGCCTCCACTCTCGGCCTTCGCCTCCCGCCTCCGGTTCTTCGGCCGCCGGTCATGGTACGCTGGGAAGCCCCGTCTCCAGGCTGGTTCAAACTCAACACTGATGGGGCATCGCTCGGGAATCCAGGCGCCGCTGGAGCCGCGGGCGTCTTTCGGGATGCCACCGGCGCCCCAATTGTGGCATTCCAAGTTCCCCTTTTGAATACGACGAACATTTTGGCCGAACTGCAGGCGATTCGATCTGGAGTGGACCTGGCGGTTGCCCGCGGCCTCCTCCCTCTCTGGATCGAGACGGACTCGGCCAGCAGTATCTCTCTCATCTCCTCCTCGACGGGACACTGGACTCTCCAACCTTGTCTCCACCACCTGCGCCTACAGCTTCGCAGCATCGAGTGGAGGATCTCTCATATTTTCCGCGAGGGCAATAAAGTGGCGGACAACTTGGCGAACACCTCTGTTGCCCTTCCTCATATGCGGATCCTTGAGCCGGCGGACATCCCAGCGACGACCCGTGGCCTCATCCATGCTGACGCGGCGGGCCTTCCGTGCTTTCGCTTCCGTTAGCTTTTATTTGCTTACACTCTTTATTTACATTTGCAGCACTTGTACCGAACTTTGCAGAACTACGTATGGCTTGATCCCGTTGGGGTACGTAGGCAGCTCTTTGAGCCCAGCCAAAAAAAAAAAAAAAAAAAAAAAAAAAAAAAAAAAAAAAACCCTAAACCCTAAACCCTAAACCCTAAACCCTAAACCCTAAATCCCGGACCAGTATCGACGGAGGCGGCCGGCTGTCTCCCCGGAAGGTCGAAAGGGGCTGCTCCCCGAACCATCTGTCCTCCTCAAAGAAACACTCCCCCCAACCTAGAGTCCAGTATATCTGCAACTGGACCTCCTCCCTAACGCGGCACAAGCGCTTCCACACCGGGCTGTTGCATATCCGACAAGGGACTCTACCCGAAAAGGAATCGCGAAAGTACTTGTGCCACATCGCCTGCGCCCACAACGAGGAACCCTTACGAAGCTTCCACCAAAGCTTCATAGAGAAGGCATGAACCATATCCGATAAATGCCTAACACCCAAACCACCCTCGTCCTGTGGCCGTGCCGCATCCGCCCATGAAATTCAATGACGCTAGCGGTGACCATGATACGAGCCCCAAAAGAAACGCGTACAGATCTGCTCAACCTCATGAAGAATCGAATGTGGAGGATGCAGAACCTAAAGTAAATATAGTGGTAGGGATATAAATATGCTCCGGATAAGCTCTAATCGACCGCCATGTGATAAGACAGCCCGATCCCAGCGGCTCAAGTATCTCCGAAGCTTCCCCAGAAGCTCCTCGTACAAAATGCTCCTCTGATTCCCTACATAGAGGGGCGCACCAAGTAAGGGGGAGGTCAGCCACTCTGAAACCCGTGACTGACTGAAATTGCTCCCGAACTTCCCTCGGGCATCGTCGACTAAAAACAATCGAACTTTTCTGACAGTTGACCTTTTGGCTAGTGATCCTCGCATAATCAGCAAAAAAGGTCGTCAAAGAGCTCATCTGCTCCCCACAGGCACTCGCAAATATCAGCACATCATCGGCATATGCTAAGTGAGACAACCAAAACCCTCATCTACATCGAAAGTAAAGCTCCGGATGTCCCTGGTAAAGACGCTCCAAACCCCTCGACAACAGGTCCGCCGCAAGCACAAACAAAGTTGACGACAACGGGTCTCCCTGTCGGACCCCCTGGAGGATTTAAAAAATCCCCCAAGGCCTCCGTTAATCAAAACGGAGTAGTAAGCATGCTCTACACAATGCATCACCAATGTAATAAACGCCTCCGCAAAACCAAACCTCAACAAGGCATGTCTCAAAAAACGCCAAGACACCCAATCATATGGCTTATTAAGGTCTAGTTTCAGAAGCACATTTGCGACGTGTCTCTAAGGTTCAAGTCATGAACCATCTCGGATGCCATTAGAATGTTATCCGTAATCGCACGCCCCTTCATAAACCCCCTTTGATGCGGTGAAAAGAGGCGCGGTAGTAAAGTCCCGAGGTGCACCGTGAGCAACTTCGTGATGATCTCGTTGCTCACGTTGCACAGACTAATTGGCCGATAATCGGCCCAGGACTCCGGGGCATCCCTCTTCGGGATGAGGACAATGGTGGTGGCCGTATAAAACTTCGGGAGCGGGGTCCCCGAAAAGAAATCCAACACAGCTGCTAACACATCTGGACCAACAATCATCCAACAAGCCCTATAAAAAGCTGCCGAGTATCCTTCCGGACCTGCCACACAATCCGGATCTATCAAGAAGACAACCTCTCGAATCTCTGCTAACATCGGCGGTGCCAAAAGCCGCCGATTCTCCTCCGAAGGAACCTGCGGCGGCATATCCGCCAACTCATCCATCCCCGAAGTATCAGCATCATCCGTCTCCCCAAACATCAATGCAAAGTAAGATACTGCCGATGCCTTGAGGTTTAGGATTTTTTTATGCCTTGAGGTTTAAGGTTTAAGGTTTAGGGTTTTTTTTTGTTTAGGGTTTAGGGTTTAGGGTTTTTTTTGGTATCAGCATCATCCGTCTCCCCAAACCTGGCGGACACGTCACCTCCGGCGAGCCACGCGGACGTCTCCGGCGCCGGAGAACTAAAACAGCGAAAATTTTTCACTTATGGGACTAGTTTGCGACAGGCTCCACTTATAGGACTAAAATAATAAAGGGGTCCAGTTACGGGACTAAAAAAACAGTTTACCCAAAATATAAATATTAATAATTTATTCTTTTATTAAAATTACATTATATAAATTTTATACTAAAAATAAATTAAATTTATTGAAAATTATAAATATAATGAACTAATTGATAACTAACATAATAAAACGAAAATTTTATTATTTTATATTTTACATCATTTTCAATAAAAAAATTATTTATATATTTTAATAAAAATATATTATTTTTTAAATCTAACTGTAATAAAAATAAATACTTTTATAACACTTTTATAATTTTCAATAACTAATAACAATTGAATATATTTGAAACAAGAATAAAATAGAAATGTCCTCAATTGTCATTTTATATATAAACAGCTAATATCAAACAGTTGTTTTACCAAACATGTTAATATAAATAGCTAATCGAATCAGCTAGTCAAACCAGCTAATTGAATCAGCTAACAAGTATCATCTAATTGAATCAGCTAACCGCTAACAGCTATCAGCTAATTGTCAAACACGCTCTTAGCTTTGGTTGGTATTGATGACTTAGGCATTTAGCCTTAGGATAGATACTTTGATTACCTAGGCCGGTCATACATGTTTGTTTACTTTGGACTATGTAGCGCTACTAAGAACTACGTATGACTTAATCACGTTCGGGTACGTAAGCAGCCCACTTTGGGTTCAGCCACTGCTATACAGTAAAAAAAAAATCCTAAACCATAAACCCTAAACCCTTAAAAACGGAAATTGATTCAGTATTTGATGTTGTAAAAAATCACCTCCGGCAGCTTAATTGGATCCTGTCATAATCGATTTGTTTCGAAGAATTCTCAATAATGTACATGGTTGTGTATTCGTTCATGTCAATCACCGTATATCTCTTTTTTAAGTCTACGTCAGCTCTCTCCCTAAGTGAAACTAAAATTTATTAAAATTATTATTATTAAAATTAAAATTAATAAATTATTTATATTGATATCAATTAAAATTACTCATTCGTCTCGTAACAAAGTATTTATTATTATATACGTAACATTACAAATACCTTTATAATTTACATTATATTATACAAATATCATTTTTACTTTATTCTAACTATATCCCAATATAATACTAATATTTATAAAACTACTTGAATATTTACTTCTGGGACGAAAGAAGTATATATATTAGAATTAAAATTAATAAATAGTTTATATTGAAATCAAAATGGATTAATTTTAATTATAAGAAACCTGAATTTTTTCCAAACTTTTTGAAATAAAAAAATTTATACAATGTCCTTAATTTCGATACTGTATTTTGTAAAGAATTATTTAATTTAAATTTAATTTAAAATCAATAACAATCACAAAATTTATCTTCATCAGGCGAGTTCTCATTTCTATTTGCAGAGATGGGCCGGGAGATGCAGACAGTGTGGATTAGTTATTATCGGCACCCTCCCCATCCTCCTGCCCCCATCGCGGATTAACCACCATAGAGTCATAGACCCCTGAATGGCTGTCTCCACATCCTCGTACTGTAGCTCCAGTTTTTGTCTGCGCGACTACGGTGGTTCTTTTTCTTCTTCTTCCCAATTCGCTGCAGCTCCTCCCCCTTTTCGTAAAAATATATACTACTGTTACAGAAGCGGTGGAAGAGGTGGACAGGTGCATCCAGTTAGGAAGGAATTTATTACTATCGCCACACCCCATTTGGGCTGCTCCCACTCGTCCTCGAATATTAAATATGGAACTCAGAGCTTGCGTCGCTGTTCCACCGTACATTCATACCATTTAAAGTCCAGGCTCCCGAGGAGGACGACTCACTACTTGGTCAACGAACGCTGTTCTTGGCTTCATCTCCCAATCTACCTTCATCTTTTTCCTCTTTGTCGCCGATTTCCTGGATTTCCAATCATGACTGATCCTTCCACCCACGGATCTTCGGCTCTCTCGTCAAAGTCCTCTACTTTGACCACTTCTAATTTCCTCCGCCATGTCGAGTCTATGGCTACGCTGCCTTCTGGTGCCGGAAAGATTCCGAGATTGAACGCCATTGTCCTCGGAGAGGCACTTGCTTCTGAGGAGGATGATCTTGTAGTCCCAAGTCAAGATTTTTCTGGAAACGCTCACATCCCCTCCCCTGACAAAGTACGTCTATAGTTTCTTAATTCTTACCAGTATCTATGTACCTCTTCTAGTAATCCAGGTCTTATTGGGAGTTTGTATTTTTATTGCTATTCTGGTTAAGTATCTGGAGATGTACAAAAGGTCCATTGCGGATCCTGCGGGGTTCTGGTCCGACATAGCGTCCCAGTTCTACTGGAAACAGATATGGGCTCAACCAGTTTACTCTGAGAATCTCGACATTCGAAAGGGGAGAATAAACATAGAGGTTATGATCTTCAATTCTTTTATTTCCCTTCTCCATTTCTCTCTAACGTATCCCATCCCTTTTTAACGTGAGTGCCGTGTCTGGGATCAGTGGTTCAAGAGTGGAATTACCAATATCTGCTACAACTGTTTAGATACCAACATTGCATCTGGAAATGGCGAGAAGGTTGCCATCTACTGGGAAGGGAACGAACCTGGCCGCGACGCCAGTTTAACATACAATCAACTCCTGCAGAGCGTTTGCCAGGTCTCCGATCCATTTGTCTCTTCATGATTTATTAATACGTTCTTACAACTTGAAGATCAGTTAGTAAATACTAACCGTAATGTTTTGTGCTAAAAGCTGGCAAATTACTTGAAAGGAATTGGCATCCAAAAGGGAGATGCTGTTTTAATTTATCTGCCCATGCTCATGGAACTGCCCATCGCTATGCTTGCTTGTGCTCGCATTGGTGCTGTTCACTCGGTATTTATGCTTGCTCTTCTTTTTAAATGTTCAAACCCTTTTTTTTTTTCTTTTGTTTTTTTTTTGTTTTTAATTACATTATTGTTATTATGGTTACTCTTGAGAAATACAAAATTTCTCTGCTTGTGCTTGCAGGTTGTTTTTGCTGGATTTTCCTCTGAATCCATAGCGCAGAGGATCATGGATTGCAAACCAAAGGTTGTAATAACTTGCAATGCTGTTCAAAGAGGGCCCAAGGTCATCCATTTAAAAGACATAGTTGACACAGCACTGGCAGAATCTTCCCAAAATGGCGTGCTTGTAGGTAAATCTCACCCTTTTAATTTAACGACACTATAAAACATCTACTTTCTCCTTAGTGTCAGGGAACAGCAAAGGGTGGCTTATCATTACAGGACACAAGAGACAATGTAAAGCAATAAACTTGAATGGTCTTGTTGACTTTATATAGATATGGTCTAAAGTGGACCTACGATCCTTGCTATACTAGTTTTTCATTTTTCTCTCAAATAAGAAATGAATCTTTGAGTTTCCCACCTGAACTTCCCTGATATTCTTGGTTGCTCATATTGTTGCATGCTAGCAGAATGGAGATAATATCCATAGTACTTCTCTTTGTCGTGGAAGAAATCTGTTGTGTCCGCCAAATTATTATGCTTTTTTAATTAAGTGCCATGAAGTTTATGACATGAATTTCTTAGAAATAGACGTGGACTTGGTTTTCCTAAGTATTTGGTATGTTCTTATTCTTCAGATGTGTGCTTGACCTATGAAAATGGATCGGCTTTGAGTAAGGAAAGCACAAAGTGGGTTGAGGGAAGAGATACTTGGTGGCAGGTTGGTTGACCATAAAGACTTTCCAATATATCAACTTTATTGTCCTTGTAGAATAGACAACTCTGAAAAATCTGTAGATGCTCACATGAGTTCTATGGCTGCCTTGACCTGCTTGGCTTGTTTGCCACGTGGACATAGTATAGTATATCATGCAACCATCTAAAAACACTAACAGACCTGTGGTAGTTGCCATCATCATTATCACCATCATGATCAAGATCATCTAACCTCGTTCAGCAGCATCTGCCATTTCAGTCTTTGTATAGTTGCAGCTGATGCATATGGATGACAACTGATACCAATTGAAATCATTATACTGAGTTCATGCTGATAATTCTCAAATATGCCTTGATGCCGCATTGTTAACAAGTTGATCATATTATAAAAATGATGACTATATGGATCCCGCAATCAGTATGTGGAATTGAGGCACATTTTCTCATCAACATTTAAATGTAACCTTTTCCAAAGGTGTCAAGGAAAACTTAATTGGAAATTTAGACGAATTTTGAAACTGCTGGACATGATTCAATCTGTAGATTGTAGCTGTTACATTTCATGTCAAATGCTAGTCTAAGTACTGATTAGCTATGTTCATTGTAATATTGCCTGAAGGAATCAGCTTTTAATTTTTTATACTAATTTTGGTCTTGGAGAATAAAATCTGCGGATCATCACAATATCTTTGGTTTTTATTTAGTTAATATTTGTAAATTTCTGACAATATCATGGCAGATTCATAGGTTGTTTTTGTCCTTTTATCCTCCAGGATGTTGTTACTAAATATCCAACTACTTGTGATGTGGAATGGGTCGATGCAGAGGATCCGCTTTTCTTACTATATACAAGTGGAAGCACCGGAAAACCCAAGGTAACAAGGATTTAGATTTATGATACATTAACGATTTTTTTTGTTCATTATATTGCTCTAAAATGTTATCATCCATTGATTTGGAAGGGAGTCCTGCATACAACTGGAGGATATATGGTCTACACAGCCACAACATTTAAATATGCCTTTGACTATAAACCATCAGACATATACTGGTATACTTTAGCTTAATTATGGATTCCTTTTTAGGTCTTCTTTTCTTAATAAAAAATTGATCCTAGTTTGGCCACCCCATGTCTTCATTTGGCAGGTGCACAGCAGACTGTGGTTGGATTACTGGTCACAGCTATGTTACTTATGGGCCTTTGCTGAATGGGGCAACTGTTGTCATTTTCGAAGGGGTATCACATCAAAATTTTCACTCCTTAGCAAACACATGATCTTTTTCCACAATCTTTTTATAGGTTCCACTCTAATACAATGATATATCTTCTTAAAAATGCAAGAGCATTTTAGGATTTTGAGAATTTTATGTTTATTATTTGATTCAGATAATGATTCTGTGGGTTATTTATGCTCTAATATATTTGTCTCAACTGCATATGAAATGCAATCTTGTGATTCTAGAGGCTTCAGCGTTTGATGAGCCCTTCTATCTGTTAGATGTGGCTGGATATTATCCTTCAGCATTAATTTGAAATTAGTGCAGGCCCCTAATTATCCTCACCCAGGACGTTGCTGGGACATAGTTGACAAATACAAAGTGTCTATATTTTACACAGCCCCCACATTGGTGCGATCTTTGATGCGTGAAGGAGACAAGGCAAGAATGGACCATACTCCCATTTTACTTGTTATTTTTTGTGCATGCTGTTTGTGGTTACCATTTATACATGTTGATGTTAATTCACATGCTTTAGATTTACTGCATCTGTGTAGATAGAGGATACCTTGAATCTGTTTTTCCTTGTTTGCTAAATGATGTCAACGGAAGGTTGCCCTTCAGTGATTTGTTCTTTTGGAATTGTATTGGGTTATATAGATAGGCTATATGACACAAGGGGAAACAAGACCTCTTGTATGCATGACAAAGAATGAGAAATTTTAATAGCGGACTTTGTGGAAGAGTATAGAAGTGTTGTAACATAAAAATATAAATACATACTTTGTTGATTGGTTTTCTTTTGGTTTTGGGACCATCTGCAAATATCCTTTCTTATGAATCTTATTCTGGTCTTGGTAGTCTTTTAGCTACTTTGCTAATATTTAGACCTCCTTCCAGAGTTGGGATTAGAGCCACTTAAAGTAGATATGACCAATTGTTTTAGTATTAACACGTTGAAGTCTTAATCATGGCCTCAGTCATTGTGGCTTCTTTAATATTCTAGGGTAAATTGATTTTTTTAGTCATATAACTGGATGTTTTTATCATTTTAGTACCCTAGCTAGTTTCGTAAGTGAAAAATTTTCGCAAATTTAGTCCTCCGGCGCCGGAGATGCGGATGCCTACGTGGCACCCGTGTGGCTAGTAGAAGCAAGAAACTATCATCATCATAAGAACATCAAGCATACGTGAATAGATTGTGAACAAACAAAATATTGAAAACTTAAAAATTTAAAGTATTAACTTACGCAACCTGTGAGTCTCTCTTACTTAAACTGCTACTTAGTAGTGCAATTTTCCCAAAACTTATGTGCAAAGTCATAATAAATTTTACTCTCATTGGTATTGGATTTGAGGCGTGCCCATCTAATTTATCATTTACTTTGTGAAAAAGGAATGGGCGAGGCACAGGACCTTTTTCTTTTTTCTTTTTCTTTCTGGTTTTCAAATTCTGATTTTATTCTGTAAATCATGCAGCATGTCACCCAATACTCACGGAAATCATTGCGAGTTCTTGGCAGTGTTGGTGAACCTATTAATCCAAGTGCATGGAGGTTGTCCATCTGTCATTAAAAGCTTTAGCTCTTTTATATCTTGTTAAAATTCTTATTAATATGTCTGGGTACAATGTGAAGTATTCATGTCTATGTTGCCATTATGTTTACATATCAGGTGGTTTTTTAATGTGGTTGGGAACTCAAGATGCCCCATATCTGACACCTGGTGGCAAACAGAAACAGGGGGTTTCATGGTAGTTTTGTTTGTTTTATTTGATTTAATATTAATGCAGAACTAATGGTAATAACTGAAATAAGATTCATTGACATAATTTTGCAGATCACTCCCTTACCTGGTGCTTGGCCGCAGAAGCCAGGTTCTGCGACCTTTCCTTTCTTTGGGGCTCAGGTATTGGAATGGAGAATTATTATAAACCTTCCATATCTAGAAGCACGATTATGTAGTGTGTCATGTAGATAATAGCTCTGTAACTGCACTTAAAACAATTAAACTCTATAATTCTTTTGTTTGAATTTGTGCATGGTTTTTCATTTCTGTGCAATTCAACACATACAAGTTTGTAGTTCAGTGAGAACTCTATGGTTTGTTTTTGGGTGGTGATTAGAGCTATTAACGAGACGAGTCGAGCCAAATTTTAAGTGTTCATTAACGTTTGCGAATAAGGTTCGTGTTCGTTCGTTAAACTTTCGAGCTTGTTTGTAGTGTTCGAGTTCAGCTCATTAAAAATTTTTGTTGTTTGTGTTCGTGTTCGGCTTGTTTAGTCTCGATTAAGCTCATTCAAGCTCGTTTATCTCAATTTTTTAATTTATATATAAATTAAAAAAGAAATTCAAATTTATTTTATTTATTTATAAATTATAATTTTATATGTATATATAATATTTATAATAAATATATTATTTAAACGAATATTCGCGAACAAAGTTCGAGTTCGTTCGTTAACCAAACGAGTTTGTTTATGTTGTTCGGTTCGACTCGTTAACGTTCGCAAATGAGCTTTAACGGAGCCGAGTTCACAAACGGCTCGGTTCGTTTAACAACTCTAATGGTGATGTCCAATTGTTAGGTTGGTTGTTATTTGTTAAGTAAAATGAACCTTTGTTATTTGACCTCAGTCTATGTTTAGTGTTTTTGTATAATTGTTTAAGAGTAATGTCTTACGAAGATAATCTTGTAAATTTATCCTCATTCTAATTGTTAACTTAAATTGATCCTTAAACTGCCAGTGGAAATTCTTTAAAATAAGTTTCAGTTGCTTCATTTCAGTAACTTCCTAGTTATATTATTGATATTCTTAAGTATTCAAGTCTTAGGAAACACACAATGGGACTGGCTAAAAACCATATTTTTAAAATAAGAATTTTCCATTGAATATACTTATTATAGTTTGACATTATGTATCATTATTTGTTACTAGATTCTTCTTAAGCAATGCGTATCATTCTCTTCTTTCACTCATTCATGCAGCCTGTTATAGTGGATGAGAAGGGTGTTGAAATCGAAGGAGAGTGCAGTGGATATTTGTGTATTAAGTGTTCTTGGCCAGGGGCATTTCGAACACTTTATGGAGATCATGAAAGATATGAAACTACATACTTTAGTGCCTTCCCTGGCTACTACTTCAGCGGAGACGGTTGCAGCAGGTAGTATCTATTGGAAACTGGGAGGTTTTGTCCTCAAATGTCTTACAAATATGATATAAATGATTCTCTGGTACCATTTCTTTCTTATATGAGCAACTAATGAAAATTTATATGCACATATGCATGTATTGATAGGGATAAGGATGGATACTACTGGCTTACAGGCAGAGTTGATGATGTTATCAATGTCAGGTATTTTGATTCGCTTTCATCTTTCTATGCATTAAATTGGCAATAACTTGTTTTCTTGGTGTTTATTGGTGTACTTTGTAATGAATAATAATAATAATAATAAAGCATCTGAGATGTTTCAATGCACAACTATTGGTTGGTACATAGAATCTGTTTGAACTCAGTGTATTTTAAGAGCTGTGTAATTAGTCCTATTTCACAATATGACAACACACACACACAACTACTAACGGGCTTGGCCTAGTCCATCTTTTTCTAACCTAACCCAACGTCATTTTTATCAGCACTTACCCTCAAACTACAACATATATAGATCAAACATATATTGTGAAGTTGACCAAACCTGTTTTCGACTGAGTCATCTTCCTAAGTTGAAAGATCTTGCTATTGAAGGATTACATGTGCCAAGAACTTATAAATGAACTTAGGCTAATTGTAGTGGCAAGGGTGTTGGCAAAGGAGTGGAGGCGAATCAAAGGCAAGAACAACATTAAAACAAATGGGGGATAGAGGTGGTAAAACTTGTGTAAGTCACATTCTAATGCTAATCATTCATCCCTCATTGTTACCCAGGTCAATGCAAGAAAAAAATGATCGAACACTTAAAAGTATGACTTGATCAACTCGTACAAACAATGGGGAACACATAAAACGAACTTGAGAGACATGTCCAATGATGGAGTCATATAGCTAATAGCATGAACTGGTGTAGTAGAACTGACAAGGGTAATTGAAGGTAAAGATGTAGCGTGTGAGGGCAAGTGTGGATTGCTTGAAATTTGGTTACTTCCTAAAGACTAGGGAGTGTAAACTAGGTCCACAATTAAATTACTAGAGTGGCTGAGTAAGATAATTTTTGGTGATAGAAGTATGATATTGGAGGCACTTTTTCATACTCAATTGTAGAGAATGCCCAAGTTATTGGATGGTCCCCATTCCAACATTTCCAAAATAAGGATGACATTGCTTCACCAACTAGCTGCATTTTTAAAATATGCCTTAGATATCTTAGAAAATACATGTATGGATGTCAACTTTAAATTTGTCAAAGTTGGGGAGCTTGGCAGATGTTAATCGATATTGAAGATTAGTTAGCAAGCTTAATTATCATACTATCACTCAACCTGATATTTCCTTTATCATTAGTGCTATGAGTTAGTTCCACCCATCTTTATGTACCGCTCATCGGGATGCCATCGCTTGCTTTTTACAATATGTGAAAGTATAACATAGTCAAGAATATTGTGTTTCAATCAGTCTCACGCTTAAGTTGTTCGCTATCATATATTGAATGGGCATGATCACCTTATGATAGACAACTTATGTTAGGATATTATATTTTAGTTCCCTTGATTATCTATCATTAATCGGTAAGAGGCATAATGTCATTGTTAGATTTACTGCTAAAGTTAAGTATGATGCTATGAGCTTAGCATATTATGAACTTATTTAGAACAAGTAGTTAATCTCAAAATTAGAGTTTTTTTTGTGTATCTAAAATGAAACCATTTTGTGCTAATGAAATGGCAATGCATATTTTTTTTAACTTGTTATTTCATTGAAAAACAAATATTATTGAGATTCGTTGTCATTTTTCTCATACTTTGAAAATAAAATGAAGAAGTAGATAAATTCTGTCAAAAAACTTGTATTAATTTACATATCGAGCCAGGCCAGATTTTCATACAACATTCCTAGTAAAATAAAAGGAAACTACCACTATCTTATCCCATGAATTATAGGATCTCTAGCTGTACAAAGGACAAAATATTTGTTTCCTAAAAATAGATAGATTCACATATTTTCCCACACTTCCCCTGAAGCTGGTGAATAGATATTTTCTATTCTCAGCTTGAATACAATAGTTTGAAACATTGAGTTATTCAATCCTTTTGTTAATATATCTATTAGTTGACCAATTGTTGATATGTAGGGAGTCCAAATCAATCCGTTGTCCAACTTCTCTGTGATAAAATGTTTGTCAATCTCGATATGTTTTGTTTGGTGTGTGTTGCATTGGATTGTCATCTATGCTGATTGCAGACTTGTTGTCATAGTAGAGCCTCATAGGCCTTTCCCACTTGATCTTTTGGTCTTCAAGTATAATCTTTAACTAAAGTAGCTCACAAACACCTTGAGCCATTGCTCTAAACCCTGCTTCTGCACTTGATCGAGCTACCACACTTTGTTTCTTGCTCCATGTCATAAGATTTCCCCCAAGAAAGGCACAATATCGAGATGCTACCTTCTATCAACAATAGACCCAACGTAGTCTGCATCAGTGTATGCTTAGCCTTTCCACACAAATTCTTGAATCACTTTACTCCCAATTCTAAAGTCAGCTCTAGCACTGGTCATAAGGGTAGTTTGGTTGTTGCATGCCATTCCACAATATTATCCCACATGACTACACCCCTGTTGAAATATATTTTAGATAAATATTTTAGTTGATATTATTTAGATTTGTTAGTTATTATATAATCATATCTACTAGATTAGGTTGTTATTATCTAGATATATTACTAGATTTGATTTATATTATTTAGATTTATCCTTTTGTATAACATCAGACTTTAACTTCATTATCAATAAATCTCAGAAATTTCTCTTATAATTTTTACATGATATTAAAGCTTACTATTCTTCTGGTCTACTAATTCACGTTTTCTCCGGGTACATCCCGTAATGTACCAGAGGACCTTATTTCAAATCTTCATCCTATTCATAATTTGGAAAACATTTGCCACCAAATATCATCATCAAAACAGTGCATATGAGTTACCAACGTCGATCAATATTTGGTCAACACCGTCGGTCAACGCCACTAAATGCTGTCAACATTTTTTTGCCACCGACTTTGGGTGCATGTGCAAGTCTGTTCGGTGTCCAATTGTTAGAATTTTTCGGCAACAATATAGTGAGATATTTTTAGTCTATCTGTCAAGCTTTCAGTTTTGATTACGATTTTTGGTATGATATTTAATTATTTGTCCGAAGTTTCTACCAATTAGGATTTAATATCTTAGGGTTTAGCGGTGCCGAGGCGATAGAGGATCATCGTCATCAGAAATCTTGATGCCGCTGCAACGACAGAGGATCGTTGCCGCCGCCACCACGATAGAAGACTGTGGTCATTAAAAATTCCTAATTTGGGTAAAACTTTAATTTATTAAAGTTCCCGTCGTTGCGACAGAAGATCGTTGGCGCGTGCCCGTGACAGAGGATTGATGTCATTGGAAACTTTAATCTTACCAAAATCCTAATTTCTTAGGGTTTAACATCCCCACCACAACAGAGATTTGATTTGAATGTTGATGTCAAGTTATGAATTACTGCCATATTCAACCACCTCCTATTTCCTTTGTCAAACTCGAGTTAGCTTCTACATCACCAATTTGAGTTTGAGACGGGGTGTTGAAATATATTTATGATAGATTTTTAGTTGATATTATTTAGATTTGTATAATCATATTTGCTAGATTAGGTTCTTATTATCTAGACATGTTACTAGATTTGGTTGTTATTATTTAGATTTATTCTTTTGTATAAGGTCGACCTTATATAGTTGGCTTCTGAATACTATTCTCTTCACTAATATATTTTAACCGTTCTAGAGGGTTTAGAAGAATATGGTTTGTCCGTGATCTAGAAAACAATTTAAAAATTTTAATCTGAACATTACTAAAGAACCTAATCATATTATTGAAGAACACTGCTGTTTTGCGCATGTATTCTCTGACACTAGGAACATGCAAAATATATTATGGCTTTGATAATAAGTGCACCAAAGATAAGCATCAGATAAGTAGGAAAGCACTGCACACAATGTCTAGCCTTTCAGATGTGACTAATTTGGGGGTTTGGTATACATATTCTGATCGGAAACTCGACTTTATTAGGATTTACATTTTCTTTCATATATGAATTCAGTGGACATCGCATTGGCACTGCTGAAGTGGAATCTGCATTAGTTTCACATCCCCAGTGCACTGAAGCTGCTGTTGTTGGTGTAGAGCATGAGGTAAACTAATATCTTTTTTATTGTCCTGCTATAAATCATTCATTGTAAACTAATATTTAACTTCGGTCATATATGCTTCTTACATTTGATTAGGTTAAAGGACAGGGCATATATGCATTTGTTACTCTGGCGGAAGGTGTTTCTTACAGTGAGGATCTTCGGAGAAGTCTTATAATGACTGTGAGAAAGCAGGTGAACTGAAATTCCTTTATTATTATATGAATTATAAACACGCAAAGTTCAACTTTGCCCTTTTAGAGAGCTTTTAATAAAATTTTAGCCTTAGTTTTGGCAACAATCTTTTGGGCACCAATAAACGGAAAGGTATTTCTGTGAAATGTAATTAAGTATAATCAGAGGGTTTGCAAGAGTGCAAATGTGTTAGAAGTCTTAGTAAATATCTGCAGGCCTAGGGTACATAGCACAATATATTTTCCAATGGTAGTACCACAAGGACTTTGGTAATGTTTCTCAAAGTAGTCACGTTTAATGTAGGGGTTGCATGAACAGTTTTGGTGAATAGCCTTAGGCTTGTTATTTTATTTTTTATTTGAGTGTGTGTGGGGGAGGCAGCTCAAGCATTGATCCTGTAAATTGTAAGTAGTCCATTGGAAAGCCTAGGTTTTTAGCTCTTTATGTACATGTATCACTGGTCTATGTAATGAAATATTATTTTTATATTTTTTTGTTCTATGGGCATCTGTTTGAGTCGTGGTTGATGGTGATATGGAGTATTTTGTGCACGTTTAATATTATTGTATTTCATTGTTAAAGAGAGTCTCCCATCAGACAAATTATTCCTTGAGGTATTTATATGTATGATTTATATGTAGTAATGCTTTTGGTTGTGTTCAGATTGGAGCATTTGCAGCACCAGATGTCATTCACTGGGCTCCTGGTCTACCAAAGACAAGAAGCGGAAAGATAATGAGACGAATTTTGAGGAAAATTGCTTCGAGACAATTAGATGAGCTTGGTGATACAAGCACGCTGGCAGATCCTGGTGTGGTTGATCAACTTATTAAGCATGCTGACAGTTGATGTTTGAAATTTTAAGTTGCAAGAAAATAAGGCTTGTACCACTGAAAATACCATTTCATATCCTTTTCACAAATTTACTTTTGCAATAATCTTCGAAAGATACATTTTCTATTGCACTCATGTTGTCATTGGCCCACCATTAACTAGTTAAATATGCTGAGGTGTTGAAAATCTGTTCTTAGTAGATGTAAATTATATGTTTTATGTTTTACAAGGGTGGCATTACTGTGAGCACTTTTCTCACACATTTCTAAAAAAAATGCTTGAATTAAGAATAATAATGATACTTTATGCTTGAGATAATAATAATAATAATAATAATAATAATAATAATAATAAAACTTTTTCATTTATATGTTTTATTTATTTATTTATTCTTTTTGTGGTTTGGAATTGACAGATGGGGATAAATGAAAGGCACCGATTTATGTATGAAGCACATATATATGTCCATGTGTTTTATGAGTATATGTTTTAAAAGTGTCTTTTACAGATGACCTCAACCCATGAGTTCGTTAGCTTAAAAATTGAAAAGAGGAAGTTACACTCGAACGAGAATAAAAAAAATTTATATAAAAAATAAATAAAAATTTAAAAATATATATATATATTATATAAATTTATAATTAAATTATATAAATTACTATACATTTATATTATTATATTTATATCCATCAAATCAATCCTCATCAAAAACTCTAACCAAACCCAAAAGAAACAACAAAATTCAAACTATCTCAAAATTCAAATAAAAATCAAATCTAAATCCAAATTTTCCCAAAATCTCCTAAAGAAATTGTTATGAGAAAACGAGAAAGAAAGCAAATAAAGAACACAGAGGTTTTACATGGTTCGGTGACGATGTGTCAACCTACGTCCACGGGCAGGAACCGGAGAGATTTTATTATACTCAGAGATTAAGAACCATAGTTGTCTATTTATAAACACCCAAAACACCCTAAACCCTAAGCCTTTTGTTATTAATTAGGATAAACCCAAAAGGAAACCTGTCAATTGAAACAACCCTTTCGCTTTGGTTTAGGGTCGGGTAGACCACTAAATCCAAGTCACGTTTCAACAATTTCCACCTTGACTTGGAGTTTCTCCAACCGCCAAAGGTTCGTCAGTATCTCTCAGTCGTCTCCTTCCTGCCAGATGCCCCGAGAGGGCTTTACCTCCTGCGAATATTCACCAAGTTCAAGCAGTGCTCAAACTTCTCCGTCGGTAGCGCCTTTGTCAACATATCAGTTGGATTATGTTCTATAGCTATTTTATGAATAGAAAACTTGTCTTCTTCTGGAACATCACGGATAAAATTCAACCTTACATCAATATGTTTTGTTCTCTCATGATACACTGGGTTTTTAGCCAAACTCAAAGCACTTTGACTATCACAGAATAACACCGGTTTCTCCACCTTCAGACCCAAACTCTGCACCAGACCATGTAACCAAATACCCTCCTTAATATCTTCAGTCATTGACATGTATTCCGCCTCAGTCGTCGACAGTGCAACCGTAGGTTGTAAAGTAGACTTCCAACTGACTGCACATCCAAACAGAGTGAAGATAAAACAAGTCAGTGATCTTCGTTTCACCAAGTCACCCCCATAATCAGAGTCTGCATAGCCAACAAGACCATCACCATGGCTTTTATCATCATATACCAGGCAAATATCAGACGCTCATTTCAAATATCGCAAGATCCACTTTACAGCTCCCCAGTGAGCTTTACCCGGATTAGCCATAAACTTGCTCACCACATTAACCGCATAAACGAGATCCGGTCTCGTACATACCATCGCATACATAAGACTTCCAACTGCACTTAAATATGGAACCGTCTTCATGTGACTAACCTCTTCATCTGTAGCCGGTATAGTGCTTCGATCAAGTTTAAAGTGTGCCGCCAAAGGGGTATTTACCGGTTTGGACTGATCAACAGAGAATGCCTGTAAAACTTTCTCAATATACTTTTCTTGAGAAACTCATAGCCGTCTTGCTTCTCTATCACGCAAGATCTCCATACCAAGTATTTTCTTTGCCGCACCCAAATCCTTCATCTCAAACTCACCCTTTAGTAGAGCCTTCAAGTCATTAATTACAGCCATGTTTTTAGCTGCAATTAACGTATCATCCACATACAACAGCAAATATACAAAGGAATCAGTAGAAACTTTCTTCGAGTAAACACAGTTATCAAACTGATTACGAGTATAACCATTAGACACCATGAATGAGTCAAATCTCTTGTACCATTGCCTCGGAGACTGCTTCAAGCCATACAGAGATTTCTTTAACAAGCATACCTGGTCCCCTTTAGAACTGTAGAACCCCTCCGGTTGAGACATGTAAATCTGTTCTTCTAGATTACCATGAAGGAATGTTGTTTTTACATTAAGCTGCTCCAGCTCCAGATCAAAAGCACCCACCATTGCCAAAAGAACCCGAATGGTTTTGTGTTTTACCACAGGAGAAAAGACTTCATGATAATCGATTCATTTCTTCCGTGAAAACCCTTTTGCCACCAGTCTCACCTTGAACGTAGCAGGTTCAACACCAGGAATTCCCTCATTTCTTTTAAAGACTCATTTGCATCCCACTGGCTTCACCCCTTTTGGTAGTGCAACAAGATCCCAAGTCTTGTTCTTTTCAAGAGACTGCATCTCTTCATTCATTGCCATAATCCAGGTTTCTGCATCTTTACTCGCCACAGCTTCTTTATATGTCTTTGGCTCATCAGAGCCAAGATCATCACCAACCGCCAGTGCATAAGCCACATAATTCATGTCACATGTATTGACACATCCTGCAAATCTAGCTGGTTTCTGAATATTTCTCTTTCCCTTTCTTGCTGCTATAGAATCTTTAACCCCAGTACCAGCGTCATCAGCTTCCCCTCAATTGGTTTCCCTTGAGGTTTTGAATGATCTGGTTGATCGGATTGATCAATAGTATTATCCTGTTGTTCTTCCTCTAACACAACTCTGTCAAGAGTCTCAAACTCCACCCTCTGGTTAGCACCACAATCTTTTGTACATGCAATACTTTCACAACCTCTACTCTGATCAAGCATAGCAGATTCATCAAAGGTTACATCTCTGCTAATAAGAAATTTACCAGGATTTTTACCTTCTGTACACCACAGTCGATAACCTTTTACTCCTGTTGCATACCCTAGAAATATGCATTTTACCGCCCTCGGCTCCAGCTTACCATCATTCACGTGAGCGTATGCAGGGCATCCAAATATTCTTAGATTAGAGTAATCAGAGGGTTTACTTGACCATACCTCTTGAAGAGTCTTTAAGTCAATTGCAGTTGATGAAGATCTATTAACCAGATAGCTAGCAGTGTTTACTGCTTCAGCCCAGAATTGCTTAGATAAGCCAGCGAATATGCGCATACACCTAGCACGCGCCATGAGGGTTTGGTTCATTCGCTCTGCAACTCCATTTTGTTGTGGTGTGTGTCGTACAGTGCGGTGCCTCACTATACCTTCTTTCTTGCAGAAATCATCAAATGGATCGTTGCAGAACTCCAACCCATTATCAGTTTTTAGAGTCTTGACCTGTTTACCCGTCCGTTTTTCAACCATGGTCTTCCACTCCTTGAACTTCCCAAACACCGCATCTTTAGTCTTCAGAAAGTACAACCAGACTTTTCTTGAATAATCATCTATGAAAGTGACAAAGTAAGAACACCCGCCCTGCGATTTCACTGGAGAAGGACCCCATAATTGAATGAACATACTCCAGAATTTCTTTTGAAGTGTGATGACCGGTACTAAACCTCACCCTGCGTTGTTTCCCTTTTACACAAGCCTCACATAATTGAATTTTACCTATCACATCCCCACCAAATAAACCCTGCTTGCTCAACACAAACAACCCTAGCTCACTCATGTGACCTAATCGACGGTGCCACAAATTTGTCCTCTCATCATGTTTATCCAAGGATTGGGATACCGCCGCCGTTCCCATCACTGAACTGCCCTGAAGAAAATAAATTCCATGTTGCGGTTTTCCCGTCATCATTACCAGAACACCTTTCAGGACTTTCACCCACTCACATTCACCATGATGTTTTAAACCATTCTTGGCTAAGGTGCCAAGAGAAATCAAATTCTTTCTGAGTTCAGGAACATACCAACAGTCAAATTTCCTGACAGTACCGTCATGCAATTTTATCTGTACTATCCCGCTCCCCTTTATGGCTAGAACCCCATCATCACCTAACTTCACCGTTCTATTCCACTCTTTAAAAGAAGTGAGTAGATCACGAGAGAACGTCATGTGGTGAGAAGCACCGGTATCCATAATCCAGGAATTAGCAGTACTAGCACTGCACGCTGTCAGAACTTCACCAAAGTCCCCATCATCAGAACTGTCTTGTACCACAGCGGCACTGCTACCACTATTACTAGAATCAACCATTGTATTTCCCTTCTTCTGCGGACAATCCCTTTTAACGTGTCATTTCTCCTTGCAAAGATAACACTTAACTTTGCTAGAGGATTTTGATTTTGAACGTGACCTCCCATTCCCGTTACCCTTCTCCTGTGGTCTTCCCCTACCTGCAAACAGACCTGAACCAGAACCCCTTTCAAAGAAACCTTTCTTTTCAATTCTTTGGACATAAGGGCATCTTTCACATCATTAACAGAAATTTTGGTTCTACCATATAGCATAGTATCTACAAAATTCTCATATGAACTAGGTAGTGAACACAATAAAATTAGGGCTTGATCTTCATCATCTACTTTAACCTCAACTCCTTGAAGATCAAGAATGATACAGTTAAAGGTATAAGATGATCCTTTACCTGAGTACTTTCGGACATCCGGAGGGTGTAAAGACGTTGCTTCTGATATAGTCTGTTCGTGAGAAAGTTGTTTTGGTACTTCTCACACAGTTTATTCCATAACCCAAAAGCCGTTGTCTGATCTACAACCTCCCGTAACACCTCATCAGTAACTGACAGCAAGATCGCGGAATGAGCTCTTGTCAAAATCTCCTTATTTACCTCTCATTCGTGTCTTTAGGAAACTTGTCTTCTCCCTCTAACGCAGCCGCACATCCTTGTTGAACCAGAAGTGCCCTTATCTTGACCTTCCAGAGCGTGAAGTCATTCGACCCATTAAACTTCTCCAGATCAAACTTATACGAAGACATCTTCAACAAAAGAGCGTTTTCTCGCCACTGTTGTTGCTTCCTATTGTCACCGCCCACAACCTACTATTGCTGCTTGCCATTTCTGTGCTGCCATTGTGGTAAAAAAATTAATCGTGGATTATGTAAGTATACGATAAATGTAAACAGACGATGCTTCACGGCAATGGTTAAAGGTTAAAAAACGAAAAGAACTTGAGAAAAAAAGTACAGGGAGGTTTGACCTGAGCTAACGGGCAGTGACGGAACTAGCAGTAAAAGTTTAGGGGACAAAAATATCGATTTTTTTTATCGTTTTTTTTTTATCAATTCAATATTCTTTTTTTAATTCATAGCACATCCGGGTCAAAAAAAATTAAAAAAAAAATTCAACAAAACTACATAAAATTCAATATTTTTTATTATAAAAAAATAAAACTTAAAGGCTATAAATATAAATTAACAAACAAATAAAATTTTTATAATTTTTTACATTATTAAATAAAAAAATAGGAGGGGCAAATTACTAAAAAAAATATATATATTTTACTATTTTTTTACACTAAAAAATAGATATATTTTGAGGACTTGGGTCGTTGACCCCCTAGCTTCCATGTAGATCCGCCCCTTTCTAGCAGGTGGGCGAACGTTTGATTTGTGATTTGGGATATGGATAGATATAATTAAAAAGAATAAATACAAGAGATTGATAAAATAGATAAATTTAAATTTTAGAATTAAAATTAAATTAGATAATTATACAAAAATAAAGAAAAGAAATTTTAAACTTTAATACTCTTTTCTTCCCAAAAGAATAATTTTATTAGGTTGGGCACGGCATTTAAAATGGGTGAAAAGTAAGGATAAATGATTTTTTTCTTTGTAATAATAATGAAAAAATAAAAATAATTTTATAAAAATAAAACTATTATTTTAAAATAAAAAAATAATAAATAAGATTATTGTATGGATGTAATAGTAATTTAAAATCTGAACTCTCTTAAATTGAAGATCAAAGGTTTTTTAGACCATCTTTAACTCACGATTCTAGTAAACTTCAATTTACTTTTTATATTTATAGACATCACCCTCTAAGACGAGGGTACGCTCTCATTTTTTATGTTTTTTATTTTATTTTAAATTAAAAATGATATTTTTACTTATTTATTTTATTATTTATAAAATATATTATTTTTATATATTTATATTTTAATTTTATAATTAATAATAATTTTATATTATATTTATTGTATCTAACCAAAGATAGTATATAGTATTTTTATTTATATTTAATATGAATATTATTTAATAATATTACATTTAAATTTATTTAATTTAAAAAAATATAACTATTATTTTGTACGATCAAAGAATAAACAAAATTCTAAATTTAATATTATTATATAATATTTAAAATACTTTTATAAATTATAGAAAGTAATGTATAAAATAAAATATAAATAAAATATCTTTTAATCTGAAAAAATAGTATGATTAGAGATTAGTTACTATAATCTTTGTGCAAAAGCTAATGATTGAAGATGAGACATTGTAAAAGCTTGTGCGAAAATATTAGACTCTGTTATTCTATTGCTAAAATTCAGACTTGAGGCGTCAGGGTTCGAAACTATTAACTCGCGAACTTATGAACATCTGACTGTCCAAAGAAACAGACGGGACACGTATAGATATAATTAATACGATATTTCTTTTCGAAGTATAATATGGAAAGGACATTGTTCTTCTCCTTTCTCTCCTTGGTCCCGGTATGCGCGCCCAACTTTCTCCCATGATTAATCGAATGCTTGTATTGCACATCCTCCTCCCAGAAAGTAAGTAGATCACCGAACCTATGGAAGTGAAAAATACCACATTCTTCGGAATAGCTACCATATTCGTCGGATTATGCTTTGCCCTCCAAGTTGACTCCGGTTACATAGCTTACAACACCACATCGGGAGTATCTCCAACCAAAATCAACGTCCATTTGGTGCCTCACTCCCACGACGACGTCGGATGGCTCAAGACGGTCGATCAGTACTACGCCGGCGCCAACAATTCCATTCGGGTACAACCATTTTTCGATTTTAAGCTCGGTTACGATCTACTAAATCTCGTTTCTTTACTTCATTCAGGGAGCCTGTGTCCAAAACATATTGGATTCAGTGATATCTGCTTTGTTGGATGACAAAAACCGGAGGTTCATTTATGTTGAGATTGTAAGATTTATATAATTACATGCTTTTGTTCGATCCTGCACACTTGCTACTAGCTACGAGTATTAGCTTGATCGGATCAATTAATCCTTCAGCAATGTACTTTTATTCAGGCATTCTTTGAAAGATGGTGGAAGCAGCAAAGTGACAGTCAAAAGGCTAAAGTCAAGCAGCTTGTGAGCTCCGGTCAACTTGAATTCATGTATTTAGTCTAACTCTTTCACCTTTTTGATGCCCATAGAAAATATGTCTATTATTTATATATTACTTGTTTATGTTTCAGAAATGGGGGCATGTGCATGCACGATGAGGCAACAACTCATTACATTGATTTGATTGATCAGACGACCTTGGGACATCGTTTTATCCTAGATGAATTTGGCAAGAAACCCAGGGTTGGGTGGCAGATTGATCCGTTTGGCCATTCTTCTGTTCAGGCTTATTTGCTTGGTGCAGAGGTATCTACTGGATAATCTGTTTTTCTTTTGATCAAATACTTTATGTCTATATGTAATGTATCACAGCCTACTCACAAGAAATGTACTTATGAATTATTTAAGTGATACATTTCTACAGCTGAAACAGTTTGAGTCAATTGAGCTCCATTACTATGTTGCAGCTTGGGTTTGACTCCTTGTTTTTTGCTCGAATTGATTACCAAGATAGAGCTAAACGCAGAAGTGATAAAACTCTTGAAGTTATTTGGCAAGGCTCAAGGTCCCTAAGATCGTCTTCTCAGGTTAGTTGTCTATTCATGCCCATTAGTTTTGATACTCTTTTAGTGTGATTTTCTAAAATGCCATGTCTCTAGGACATCTCTCTGTCATTCCTATGCCTGAAAGCAATGTGAGGCCTGACTCTCTGTCGTGATTTTTGTCCAGATATTCACAGGGATATTTCCTGTTCATTATGATCCTCCGGATGGGTTTACATTTGAAATAAATGATGTGTCTGCTCCTATTCAGGTTACCAATGTACATAGAAGAACTATAATCTTCATTGTGTTCTCTGGGATAACTTCATAATATCAAGGGTTGAATTCAGGACGATGGTCTCCTTTTTGATTATAATGTGCAACAGAGAGTGGATGACTTTGTGGAAGCTGCTGTTGCACAGGTAGGTAGGTGTAAGATGATTATGGATTGCTTGGATCTTTGATTTATGTTCTGTGTGGCATGGTACAAATTCCTCTGCTTCGTTACACATCTTGGTAATTCATATTTCACAGAAAATTAAGATGCAGTAAGTTTTGGAAATACATAAAACTTCATTGATATAATTATTTCATTTGTAATTTTGATGTTGCCTTTGGTGTAACTGCCACCTGTTACATTTCAGGCAAACCTGACCAGGACGAATCATATATTGTGGAATATGGGAACAGATTTTCGTTATCAATATGCTCTTTCTTGGTTCAGACAGATGGATAAATTCATTCATTATGTCAATTTGGTATTTGCCTTTTTGTCTTCATATTGATATTATGTATACTCTAACCTGTGTTTCTCTGTGGCTAAATGCTGCACATAGTCTCAGTGTGCCCTTTTTACCTGTTCTTAGGATGGGCGTGTTAATGCTTTATATTCTACACCCTCCATCTACACTGATGCAAAATATGCAGCGAACCAGAGATGGCCTCTGAAAACTGGTGACTTTTTCCCGTGAGTGTGATTTCATGGTGAAAGTTTAGTGAAAGTTGCATACTGTCATACTGTGGCCTGAATTGCCTATATTTCTCAGGTATGCAGATAGGGAGAATGCATACTGGACAGGATACTTTATCAGTAGGCCAGCTTTGAAGGGATATGTTAGAATGCTGAGTGGTTATCATTTAGTAAGTTATTGTCGCGTTTACCTTGATTTTGCTAATGTCTATGGATCATTTTTTATTTTTTATTTTTAAAGAGATAGTTGAAAAACTAAACCCAACAAATAACTCAACATTTCCCCTAGCACTGCCCTTAGCAAAGTAATCTGCAACACTATTGTGCTTCAGGGAATATGTTGGAAGATGATGAAGGGTAACTTATTGATAGATAGGCAGCTTCTTATTTCATAGTTTTGCTTTCCATGGAGGTGATGTGTATGTGCATGACTACCAATCATATTCTTTTCTCATCACTTTGGCTTTGGTTTGGTACATTAATGTAAAGTAAATACCATATCTGTTTTTGTCTGGATAGTGCATGAAATATTATTGTGCTTTAGATGTGTTGAAACTTGGAAGAACAACAAGCAGTTACGTCGAATGGAATTAAGCTGCTAAGGGCAGGACTATAGAAATGTTGAAGAAGATAGAACCTGGTTCCTTACCTTCCTGATGAGCTGGGATGGCATGGGTCCTCGTGGTGCTCAACCAAAATAAGATAGGATATCATTTTTATTAATTTGTAATTAAATTTTTATAATCTAGTGGTATGAGCATGAAAGTATAGTGATTATTTTAATGGTATGCATATTTTTCAATACATGCATGTTCTTGTGTATATTGTTGGAGAAGACGGGAGTATATCCCAAAATAGCATTTCATTTTCTGTTTGAAATTCAGGCTGCTAGGCAATTGGAATTCTTCACAGGCAGGAATGCCTTTGGACCAAGCACATATGCCTTGGCTAATGCTTTGGCTATTGTTCAGCATCATGATGGAGTTAGTGGGACAGAAAGGCAGCATGTGGCAGCTGATTATGCAATGCGACTTTCGCTTGGTTATAAAGAGGTGCTTCTCTGTTTAGGTTAAACAAAGCATTCGATGCAATTCTTTTTAAACCTTAACTTGTTGGCTTATAGTTTCATGACTGTGTTTTATTATTCTAAATTGGGACTCATACTGACAAATCAGGAGCATATGTGCACTTCCATGCTATGCTGACATTGCTTAGTTGATGCATATGCTTGTTGCTTTTACCACAAATTACTGACCTCCTTGAGTGTTCAATAATAATTTTTTAGGCTGAGAAAGTGGTAGCATCATCGTTGGCCATGTTAACAGGCTCAAAACTGAATTCTGTCCACGTGGATCTTGTCCCCGAACTTCAGCAGGCAAGCAAGACATCATCTATTTGTGCTATGATTTTGGTTATTAAAATATCATCTGATTTCCCAGTTTGGCAGTTTGGCAGTTTCAATTTCATGTTATTATTTTTTTGTTTACGCAATCTGAAGCTACATCTCATATGATCAGTAGTATGAAGTCACTAAGTAGTGAATGGGTTAAACGTTCTTGGTGTTCCATCTCTCCATCTCAAAAAGCATTGGAGTGCTCCTTATGTTGCAATTTAAGAACGACTGCCCGTTCCTAATTTTGTTTAAAGTCCCATTATTTTTAGAGCACAAACTGTGCATGAAAAATTCTTATCACTTGATTTGATCTTTGTTAGTGTCCTCTGCTCAACATAAGTTACTGTCCTCCCTCAGAAGTTAATTTCACCGAACAGAAGAGCTTGGTAAGATCATCATTTCATCGTCTTTTCAACCTACAAAAATTCAATGTCTTCCTTCCTTTCTTTTTTTCACTTTTGTTTCTAATTGTTTAATGCTGCTTTTATTTATGTGATCCCATTCAATTCAGATCATAATAGCATACAATGCTTTAGGCTGGAAAAGAGATGATGTCATACGCATTCCTGTGAGTACTCCGGTTGTATTATGTGTTTTAGCAACTGAAGATAAAATTTTCCTTTAATCAACATAGTTTCATAATATAATTTCATGCTGTTATTGTAAAACATGGGAAGTTATTATAACATTTTAACAAATATTTCCATTGTTGGACGATTGTGTTTTCAATTTGAAGCCAATAACCGTGGATGAAGTCCGGGTTAATCATTTTTATGGGTTGAATTGAAGGAGTTGGCATAGTATCTTTAAAATCCAATTTCAACACTTTACTATGGTTGTGAACCCCTATAGTGAACCTTGCATTTCTATGAATTGTAAACTTGAAAAAGACTAAGAACTGAAAATTTACATGTGACACAAATTCTCCCAGAGCATGTATGCATTTGTTCACCAAGTCTACTTGCTTCATTCTTTGGGGTCTCTCATTGGTGTCAAAATAAGTGACTGTCAATATTTTTTGCAGGTTTCTTCCAAAAATTTAGTGGTTCTGGATTCTGCTGGAAAGGAAATTGAATCTCAGATCCTTCCACTTTCCAACTTCTCTTTACTTACAGCAAACTATCATATCAAAGCTTATTTTGGTATGTCAGCCTCAAGCATGGCAAGATATTGGCTTTCTTTCTCTGCATCTGTGCCACCTCTTGGTTTCAGCACTTTTGCTGTTACAAGTGCAAAATCAACAGGTAGAAATGGTTGAATTCACTTAGGATAAGGGAACATCAGTTGACATTGAGACAAGTCATACTGTTTCTTCTACAAATTCTTATCAGAATCCAGGTCAATCATGTCAACTATTTATACTTCAGACGAATGTACTTCCAATACATTTGAAGTTGGTCAGGGAAATCTTAAGTTAATCTACTCTGCTACTGAAGGAAAGCTCACTCATTATACCAACATAAGAAATGCTGTAAGTTGCTTTCCGTAAATTCTAAAATTGACTCTAGGAAATTACTTCTCTGAATTTCAAGAATATTTCAATCACTAAATGACATATGGCTGCATCTTGCCCTGATCATAAGTTTTGGTTTCCATCTTTTGGTATATCTTTGTACTTTAACTTGTAAAGCTTGCAGAAACAGAATAGATTAAAGGTGAGAAAATAAATTTTATCCTGGTTTTCTTGTCTGTCAAATTCTGATGGACCCTTTCACTGGTGAAGGTCACAGCACCCACTGAGCAATCATATAGTTACTATACCGGTTATAATGGCACAGATAGAGTTTTCCAGGTATTCTTTTCTGAGCAATAAGTTCCTATTACCATGATTTTCATGCTGCTTTTTCAAGACTTCTTTATTGCATTCTATATTTGTGCATTCTTCAGTTTATGAAAAGAATTTTGCTTAACAATATTGTTTATCAAAATAATTTATGACTGTATGTAACGCGATGCTTTCTTTGTTTGAAGGCATCTGGGGCTTATGTTTTTCGCCCAAATGGTACACTCCTGATTAGACAAGAGGGTCAGGTAAGCTCCGTGATTAGTTATTCTTTTTTCATCCTCAAATGGCCATCATCTAGAAAATTGTAACCATGTTTTGATTTCATTCAAAGGTGTTAGAATATTTTGTCTCTGGTTTCCAGATTCCTTTAACTGTGATGCGTGGTCCAGTAGTTGATGAAGTGCACCAGCAGCTTAATACATGGTTATATCAGGTACCGATTCCTTCACTAATCCTTGCCTTCTCTCAAATTCTTCGCTAAGTCAATGTGGGGGTCAGAAATGTATGACCTTCCAAGATAAAGATGTGCCCTAACTTTTTAGACAAGATTGGAAAGATAAGCTGACGACAATCATCATTTATTTTATTTCCTTTATTAATAGACGATCATATTAGATGTTTGTTTCTATGCAATGCAAGGTCATTTGCAAAATAGGTGAGTGATTCTTAGAAAGTTATATATATATACATATATATATTATATAAATCACCTAGTTTCTTAAACAAGATTGAGGACATGAACTCTCCAACACACTCTATTTTGTTTCTTTTTATTAGCATCCAATATTTTAAAAAAGAATAGACAAATTTTAACAAACCCAGAAGGCTACATTAGAAATTTCACAATGTTTATCTCTATTCTATAAAAGGTCATTCGCATGATTCTTAGTTGTTTTTGTTTATTTTTTTGATGAAAAAGATGTTCTATGTGTATTTCATACTAATACAAGGGGATTTTATACAATAAAGAAAATACAAGGTATTTTGTGATCATTTAAATTCCATATAATTTATTTAATTCCAACAAAATAAATATTTGATATTTAATTAAGGTTTTTTTTTATTTTGAATCTGTTTATTTTTAAACATCACCAGTCGAGTGGGGGTTGAGGCGGGACCCTAACCTTTAAGAACTCCCACAATCTCTGGGGGCTGAGAAATGCCCGCCTGATTTGCGAGAAAGTCAGCTGCTCGGTTCCCTTTGCGATAGATGTGAGAAATCCTTGAAGTGATACTTCTAAGGATGATTGCGATCCACGGGACTAGACTTTGGAAGCTCCAATTTCCTGTAGGAGATGCAATAAGATGAATGCTAGTCATTGAGTCCGTGTCAATCAGAGTGGTCTTAGGCCACGCTTGATTGCAATGGAGATACTGTGGAAAATCGTTTGAAGCTCTGCATAAGTGATGACTAAAAATGTGCGTGTGTGTATTTACGCAATTCACAGGGAATTTATGTTTGAAAATCAGTGAGTGGAAGTTTATAGAAAACGATCAGATATAGTAATTTTTGTGGTTGTAGAACCTGAGTAGTTATTACAATTATTTATACTCTTTTTACTGGTGAGTTTCCAGGTCGAACACAAGGATTTTAAGTCATGAATTTCAACAGTGAAAATCTTGAAAAAAAGCGACGAAATATGCAGGAAGGGATCCGCTTGCAGCGGATCCAAAAGCTAGGCTATAGAAAGCGGTAAGTAAAGCGATAAAAAATGAAGTGAGCGGAAGTGAGCGAAGCGAGGGCGGAAGATGAAGTGCCAGCGGTAACCAGATGATCGGGACATGAGCGGAAGTGGGGACCAGATGAACGGGACATGGATGAATGGCGGTTACCGAGTGAACGGGACATGAGCGAGCGGCACATTATATGTATACATATGTATATATATATATATATAGATGAGTGACCGAGAGTGAAGGAGAGATATTGTGTCTGAACTGTGCGTTACTATATGAATAGATTTCCCTGAAGGCAATGAGCGAGCGATGCAAGTGTGCTATCGGAAATATATGTATTTTACGGAAGCAGTGAGAAGGAAGTATTGTAATTATATAAACTGAATATAAAGAATTCATGACACTGGAATTTTTGACCTTAAGGGATTTACAACAAGCTTCAATGACACCCAGATTCAAGACATTATAAGAAAGAATCCCTACTGTCACTAGGAATCTCTGCGACCTAATAGACCACCGTCTATGTCCCGTTAATTTTCCCAAAATCTGCCTCATTAGTGGCTTTACCCTTATGTTACCACTTTTTAATCAAAATTGAATTCAGAACAGCAGTTAAACAGGTCAACAAGGTTCCCGCGTACTTAACTACATTGAACTACCTTGAGACCGCTTTTGGCGCATAACAAGGCTCAAATAATCAATTCTTCTCTAGCTTTAAACCAGTTAAATGGAATTCTCTAAATTCAAACTTTATATAAGTGTGTAAAAATTGTGGAAGAATTGAGGATGAAGAACTGAATGATATTTCATTATCTACTACGAAAGCATGAAAAGACTAAAGCTAAAAAGCTATAAACGAAAGCAGTAGTCTAATCTAAGAAAGCCGTAAAGACTTGGCCAAGGGAGAAGGAAAACCTCTACTCCTTTGGCCATTCCTGTGGAGAACTCCCTTACAGGGTTGGAGCTCTCGAAAACAGGAAGACGATTTGCTTGAGTAGTACTTACTATGAGTGTTTTTAATTGAAGTATCGATCTCTTTTACATAAAGATATCTGCCCCTATTTATAGCAGGTGAAACGGGACAGTTGCAATCAGTTGTTGGGCGGTTCCAACCGCTGGACAGTTAGGCGGTTACTGGTAGTTATTCTGTTAAAGCAGTTGCTAGCCATAACTTCCAGGGCGCTTGCTTTGATTGCACTGAACTGTAAGTGCGCAAATCTTCCTCGCTTGCCGAAGAGCTGGAGGGCATCGGCGCAGCTAGGCTCGCTTATGCTGGCTGGAAATGGAATGGCTATACCGCTGCATTTGGAACACTTAGTTGGAATCTGGTGATAATCTGCAGCGGTGGGTGTCTGAGCTGTCGCTTGCAAGCGGGAGAGGCTGTCGTTTGCGGGTGGTGAAGGCTGCCGCTTGCCTCTCATGCCTTAGTATTTTCCATGACGTATTCTGGGCGCTTGCGAACGGAGGTGACTGTCGCTTGTGGCGTTTGCCTTAGCTTTTCTGGCACTAGACTACCGCTTAAAAAGGTAAAAGTCGTTAATAATCTCAACAACGAATTCTGGATCATGCCAAGCGATATATATCAATAATGTATGCCATTAATGAGTCATTGTGATGGTTTTTATACAGAAATTCGAGTAATACACAGTTTTGTCAAGCTAAGAATATGCTCTTATTTGGAGTTATTAAACCTCCTCACTCTAAACCTTTGTTCGTCCTCGAACAAATTGCATTAAAAGATCAACAGGTTATACTGTTCACTGCAATTAAGAAGTGTTAACAACAAGTGCCATGATTGGGAATAAAGTGAATCTCAAAATAGAAACAAAGAAGCCATAAGTATTCAGCTTGTCAAACCAGATTGGAGTTATCCAGGTATTGTCAACTTTGCTTGCTTAGCGGGGAATGTTTTTTTGATTTAGGAAACCTTCAGCCGAAGGGTGCGGAGTTTTTGTTTTTTGTTTTTTTTTTTTTTTTGGATCGAGAGTTTCAAACAAACATTGTGTCTGCTCAAGATCTTATTTGATTCTCACACGCCTAGGCCTTTTCAGTTCCTTTGTAATGATAGGTCTTCTCTGCTTCGCTTGCATTGTATCTTAAACCATATTTAAGGACTTCTCTTTTAAAGTTATTTCTTATGAACACAGTCGGAAAACATAGGTTCGCTTGCCCTACTGAGTATGGGAAAGTTGAAACGAAGGGGGCAGTAATCTTCCCAAGTCTTATTCGTTGTTACTTAGTTTAACGCTAATGTTCAAGTTATTGTGAAGTTCGAAGGACAATTACTTGGTCTGATGTGCTTAAGTTATCTAACCCTACTCTAAAACATATCACAGAGCAGGATATCACAGGCATTTCACATAAGAACACATACTTCAGGTTATGTCAGGCATACAACAAAGAAAATTTGTCACTTGTTACCAAAAAGTGTTGTGTCGTTGATCAATGTTGTGTACAGCCCTTGCCATTCTTAAGATGTGTACATGGGGGAGGACCTCTCGTCATTCTTTTCTCGCTTGGCGGTCCTTGTCCCTGAGGAAGGTTTCTGGATATATGCCGTACTAGGTCTTCCATTCGTTGGAGACTCCTGGCTGTGTCAAGCTGTTGTTCCATAAGAATGGCGTATTGTTGGGTGAGAGCTACGAGTGCTTTCATAATCTCCTGCAGCGTCGTACCCATGCTTGCAGCTTGAGTCTCCAGTGCTTCTACGCGCGCTTCTAGTGTGATAGTTGCTTTCTTTCCAGTGGCCAGTTCATCACCCAGACTCCTAGCATATGTGTCAATTATTGTCTGAGTCATCATGTATTGGGTGCGAATGGCTGAGTCGAGTTCCTCTAGTCTTCTTTCAATGTTTTCCAGAGATGAGTGGGGGGCTGATGGTCCAGCCCTCGCTGCTGCTGGTGACTGTCGCTCGGACTCAGCCGAACTGATCTCCACTAGCACTTCCTCCCGAAGGGAATCAGGTGCTGGTTTAGGGGTGACGTCCCTGAGGAATACTAGCTGCCTTGCTACCTCGTACTCCAGCTGCTCTGCCTTCTTTCTCTCCATATATCTCCTAAATCGCAACTGGAGTTGAGTCAGCAGTTTCCAGTATTTGAGCAGCTTGGCCAGCACCTTCATTTTTCTTTTCTTCTATCGCTCAAGCTGTCGCAATCGTTCGATCTGTTGTACTTCGGCGAGCAGCTGAGCTTGCTTCTCCTACAGCTTCCTATCCTGCTCATCCTCCTCTTCCTCTATTAGTATTTTGTCTGATTTGACTGAAGAAGGAGTCAGAGTCTTTGCAGGTGTCCCCATCATGGTAGGTGTTTTTGGGCTGCGTGGGACACTTGTAGGATAGGAAGGTTTGAAATTACTGCCTCCACCTCTTCGGCTTCGTTGGCAGCTTCAGCGGTTGTGGCAGCGGGGACCTCGGCGGGGTATTCTCTGTATGACTCCACTGTGACATCGATCCCGCCGATGGTTTCTTCGGTAAGCACAGTCTCCCGCTCCTCCTCTGTTTCAGCAGCAGTAGGCTCTACCGCTCCCGGCTGGTTAACAGGTGCGGCTTCCTCGCCTGTTCCAGCAACAGTTGGCTCACTTGCCCCCTGCTGGTCAAAGGGAACAGGTTTATCGCCGAGCGGACTCGGCAGTCTTGGTGACACCTCCACCGTCGCAGGCCTTGCTGGCGAAGGTCTCTCAGGTTGAGCGGTGGGTTCTCTGATGACGATCCCTTTCCGTAGTCTGGAGAGGGGGATCGTGTCTTCGCTTGCCTCTACA